GTCACTGCTGGGGCTCGAACTCGGGGCCCGGGCGCCGTCCCCCAGCTCTGCAGCTCCCCTTTGCGGTGGCTCACGGGAGATCCGAGTCCCACGGACTCTCCTGCCCGGGGGCTGGCCTCGAACCGCGACCCTCCGATCTCAGCCTCCCGCCCTGTGCTGGTCCGCCGCAGGGCTCGGCAGGCCTCGGCCTGATCTCACTCCCCAGGCCACCCGGGCAGCTGGGGCTGCAGAGCAGAGCGCCGCTCGGGAGGCCGAGATCTGGGGGATCGCGGTTCAAAGCCAGCCCCGGGCAGCAAAGCCCGTGGGAGCCATCTCCAGCGAACCACCAGAAAGCCGGAAGTGGGGCTGTGGCCCAAGTGGTAGCGCGCCCAGGCCCTGAGTTCAAGACTCAGGATTGGTGCTTCCCCCACCCCTTGCACCCCCCAAACACAATTGCAATCACACACGAAGGTGACTAACGAAAGGCGCCCTCCCCTCCGCCCAGGCCAAGCTGAGCCGCCTCTGCCAACAGGACAAGGTGGTGCGCGCCCTGGAGGACCGGCTGTGGCAGCTGCACAAGGAGAAGGTAGGTGGCCGTTCGCCGGGGCCTCGGGGGCCCGACCAGGGCGGTCACCGCCGTGCGGGGGGCCGCGCAGCACACCGGCCGCGACCCACCGGGGCCCGCTCTGCCCGCAGTACACGCTGGAGCAGGCCCTGCTGTCCGCCAGCCAGGAGATCGAGACCAACGCGGACAACCCCGCCGCCATCCAGACGGTGCTGCTGCAGAGAGATGACCTGCAGAACGGGCTGCTGAGCACCTGCCGGGAGCTCTCGCGGGCCACCGCGGTGAGTCCCGCACCCCACACCGGGGGCCATGGCGGAGAGGGACACGGGTTCGAGGCCACGCCGGGCGAGGCAGAGGCGCCCTGCCTAGAAAGCAAAAATCAGCCGGGCACTACTGGTGCTCACACCTGTCATCCCAGCTCCTCAGGAGGCTGAGATCTGAGGATCTCGGTGCAAAGCCAGCCCGGGCAGGAAAGTCCCTGAGACCCTTATCTTCAGTGAACCACCAAAAAACCAGAAGTGGAGCTGTGGCTCAAGTGGTAGAGCGCCAGCCTTGAGCCCCACGTCTGGGATGGCAAAAAAAGAAAAGAAAGGGAGGGAGTTGTTGGGATGGATCTTATTTTGCGTGTCAGTATTGGGGTCTGAACTAAGAGCCTAGGTACTGTCTTCATTTTTTTTTTTTTGGTCTGGTCGTGGGGCCTGAACTCAGGGCCTGGGCGCTGTCCCTCAGCTCCTCAGCTCAAGGCTGGCGCTCTACCACTTGAGCCACAGCACCACTTC